ACAGGTCGATCAAAGGCCCACATCTGTCGAAAGATTCACAGTTTCAGTAGTTACTTTACAAAAAAGTTAAACGAAAAGGCAAATGCAGCGCCATTATTTTGAAGGAATGCACATCGACAATTCCCTTTCGTGTCAGGGTTTTAAATGAGGTAATCTTACTTTGAAAAACGAATTGTAAAATAATAATCTTGTTTAGGGTGTGTTTTGTGAACAACTCTGTTACTACCATGTCAAATTTTAACTCAATGTCTGTAAAATAAATCAAATAGTCATAGTCGTTTTTGGATTTGTTAAGACTGATTAGCTATGGCAGCCATCTTGGATCTGATCAACTTCTAAATTTAATGGGTTGTAGATAAACATCAAATGATTATTTCCTAATAAAAGTTGGATTAAAATCTGTGGCTCATTAGATATTTTGCCAACAGAAAATTTGCACATCCTGTTAAATATCAGATTACATGAAGGACATCACTCTCAGATAATATCACACCACATTGCAGGTGAATTTCTGTCAAACTGAGTTGTAGCCATTATTTTAAAGATCACTTGGCTGTGGTAGCCATCTTGAATTACATTAAACAATTATGAAATAGCATAATGTTTAGCTATACACAATGTTGTTAGAGAAGGATTTGATGTTGTTTTTGTTTAGTTGTGTTTTTTGTAAATTACTGTTTGAATTTATTCTTGGGAAAAAGGGGGCAAATAGATATTTTTTCTTATTGTTGCTGCCTTTCATTTATTTGAGATTTATATATWTTTTCTATTCTATGTAGGCCTGTCGCGATAGTCAATAAATCAATTAGTTGCATGATAAATTGTTTTGAGGTCGGTAAAAAAAATGAGGACGATAAGTTTCATTTTCCTGCTTGTTTGTTTACTTCGTGTCTCTCCATCTCTGTGCTCCGCTGCACAGGAGCTCAGCTGACTCCTCCCCTCCTGTTTTCTTCGTGTCGGGAGGAGTGAACTCTCACTTTATTATGAGAGCTCGTAGCAATAACAAACTAAAGAAACGTTTCAAAGCAGAACGCGGCTGCTGCAGTGTCGGAGCACTAGAGCATGAATTTCGCTGCGGGGAGACACACATACAGACAGAGAGGAGGAGAAGGGGTGGGGGCTGAAACTCCCCCACACCTGCGACAAACTCGTCAAGACTTTACCTGTATC